CTCCTGCCATCCTCTGTGGGGGCAGAGACAGGCTGCATTCAGATAGGCACCTCTATGCTAATGGAACTGACCTGTGCAACCCATTTACCACTTTCTGCAGGTGTTGCACTGAGGGAAGTGTTCCACTCTGACTCTCATGTCTTTGAGTCTTCAGTCTTCAGTTGTTGTCACGACTCCTCTTTCAACCCCATTGGAAATCAGGAAAACTGACTGTGGCAAATGTGTATTTTGAAAGGAACAAGACAGAACTGGACCTTGTCATTTATTATGTTGGACCTCAGTTCTCACTCCTCCGGCACCATTGTAATAATTCGCCCTTAGCTGAAACCCTTTGTCGTCTGTGTGTGATGTGGGTGATGTGCTGTAAACCCAAAAAACCCTCAACAAAAAAAGAAAAACTACTTACTAACATGACTACAGACCACAGGTCGGGCCCTGGGCAGGAGTCAGCAAACATCCTTTCTCATGTTTTTTTTGTTTGTTTGTTTTTTTAGTTTATTAAGATTCAGTTTAACTTGTTCTTCCAGAGAAAATCTAAGCGGAAGGTCATTTTCTGTGTGCGACTGTAAGAGAATGATTTTACAGCAGCTCAAACAACGATATCGTTGAAAATATTCCAAGCTCTACGCCCAGATTGTTGATATTCTTCATGAATTGCAATAAAAGCTAAAATCTGTATTGTAGAAGAAAAAAAACTTGAACATTTGGTAAACATAGAAAAATGTGGTTTTATTGATTAGGTTGTTAGAACTTTTTTTTTTTATAAAATGAGCTAAAATAATGGGCCAATATCAGATGGTGTGTTTGTGTGCTGCTCTCTGGTCAGTGAGAGAAAATCACCCTGCCTTTTTGTTCATCAATGTTTTTTCTGAAAACCTCACAGAAATAGAACGGGAATCGTCCTTAACTGCCACAGAGGATACAAGCCCGAATTCTGTGCGAATTTCAAAGGTTCGGCTTCATGAATGGCCTGCTGGGAGTTTAATGTGTCATCTGCTGCAGTAAAAATCAGCACAAAAAACTACCCCTGCAAATCTGTGATAATTAGTCATCAGTTACTAAATTAGTAATAATGGTCATTAAAGAAATCAGCTGTGACACAGCGGAGGCCCTTGCATCTGCCCCGACAACTGTGAAGTGTGTGGGTCGTGTAAACCACTGAAAGTATTTTCTCTGTCCTGATGAATAAGGTTTCAAGTGCAGTTCCCAATCACAGATTCCTCCTTGAATTTTAAAAACATTTTTAGTTAAGTTCAGTAGGATTTCCTTTGTGTTATCTGTAATAAAGCAGTTTTTATTGCATTTTAGCTCAAGGGTCACTAATGACAAATAGGTCCACTAAATAAAAAGTACAGATACTAAACCAAATCAATATGTAGTATTAAAGTGTACAGGTGTCTATGTGGTGTGTATGTTATGGGTTTGATTCCCTGAAATCTCTGCTGCCGCCATTTAGTTTTCCAAAAAAAAAGATATATGGAATGAATATTTACTTCAAGTAGCAACGGTATTTTTCAAGTGTAGCCTACATTTTCATTCCCTGACCATTAGAGTCAGAAGGAAAAAGAAGGTCCTTGGCCTTAATTTGTCATTTTTATTATCAATATTTTACAGGTCTAATGAAATGTCAACTTTGTGTATGAGTGCAGGCAGCAAAAGACTCTGCTCAGGTTACAGATGAGAATATGTCAAAATGTAGATGTAGAGGATAATAAGCATCATGGTCACCCATTTGACTCTGTCTGTCTGAGTTCCTTGGTTTGCTCATAGTTCCGGTGTACTGCCCGTCCGTCGACATACTGTTGCATATGCTTGCTTCACTGCCTGAGCTCGACCTCCTCTGAGATGAGTGAAGTGAATGAATGTACACAAACGAAAGCCGTAATCCGTGGAGGTCTCGATTACATTCCGTTGTTTTTGGTGTTCCGGTCGTGTGCATGTGTGCACGTGTGTTGCACTGTGGACGATTTAAGGTTCTGTGTGTGTGGTTGTATTTCTCGTGAGTCCTTTTGTGTGTGTACAGTATATCTGCACTCAGTTCTATTTTGTCCGTTTACTACTGGACAACACGGTTTACTGTTTTTATTCTGTATTGGAACAGTTCAGATGTACAAATAAATGTTTATTTTTTATTTTATCAGCTCTTTAAGACTAACTGCACTTGTTGATGGTATAGCTGGAACAAACCTCTCTTTATAGCAGGGTCACTGTCACATAACGTGTTTTAAAAGAACATCCTCAGAAAAGAAAGAAAAAAAAACAATTTTACAGAAAGTGCGCACAGGCAGCACGTCATACAAATTAAAACAATCGTGTGCTGGGTGGAATTGTCAGGTAATTAAAGGCAAAAACTTCCAGACATGAGTTGTTTCTGAAAACAACAACCATTAATACTTTTATTTTTTCTATATGAAATAATTACGAGATCAGAATTCTGAGAAACAGAGTAAGAATTTTTTAATCTAAAATTCAAATTTAATCTTTTCATTGAATACATCTAAATAAATTTCTTATGACTTATTATAAATTCATTATTTTTCAACCTAATGGAGTGATGTGTTTTGGTTTATTGAACAACCTCTGGTGATTGGAAATATAAAAAATTAATCAAGTTTTTTTTCACAAAACACCAAATTCTGAATTTAGACAGAAGCAACTTATGACACGTTTGCCCTCTCTGTCACCTTTCTGATCTAATCTGACACCGTAGGACCAAAACACGAAGGGCGCGTCCCTGTTATCACAGCTAGAGCCCCTGCCACCCCGCAAACACACTCGTTGCTCAAATGCTTTCGGGCACAAAGTGTTCTGTGCGCCTTGTATAGCCAACCACGCCTTGCTCCTCACCATATGTGCTCCCTTTCAATGTGGGAGGGAACGGGGGGAGGAAAAGGTGAAACAGGAGATAATCATCACAGCATTACATCACTGTTAGCTACATCTCAGGTCAGAGCAGAACATTGGAGCATCCCAAAAAGAAACCAGGGAACAAAGTCGTCTGTCTGCGCCGATGGTCTTGTGTGTTGAACAAGCCATTATTATGAGTGCTGCTGACAGAGCGTTACATTCCAAAAGCTTAGTGAAAGTCACTTCGAGCAAAGCAGCTTAAATATTGCTTTAACGTCAGTCAGCGCTCAACGCCTTTTAGTTTCAAGAAACGTGAGTATTAACCCTCCTAACCCTAACTCATCACTGACCAAATACCATGTTGTTTTAGGTGGACAAAATTGCATTCCTGACCTTTAGGGCATTCTGCTTCAGACAAAGAGAGGTTAACCAGCAACTTTTCTGTTTAAAATACTGTACAAAAAGATCGTGAAGTCTTGTATGAGTAAACATCAGTGTTTACTGGGGATGTTGATTTCTGTCTGTCCTTGATATGACTAAAGCCCTCCTTTTACTCCAGTTTCTCTTTGTATTCACACATGTGGAGTGCACAAGTTTAAATATCAACCATTTATTTATTTTTGAAATCTGTACAGTGTACATAATAAATATGTATATAAAACAAAAGAACTTGTCTGATATTTCCTTAAGGCCTTTATTTATTTTAAAAGATTAAGACTTATTAATAATAGTCTTTATCTTTGCAATGCTTCCTCACTATTATTTAGTATATACACTTTGACTAGTCAATATGGTGTTTAACTTGAAGACTTGTTATGATCACACGGTTTTAAATATATTCCACCAGTCCCTTTAAATGACCACACATCTGGTGCCCCAAGTGAATTATCCTGGTAAGACGATTTTTTTTTAATTATTTATTTTTTTATTTTAATTGTGTTTTTCTTAATGCTTTTAATACATACAATACAAACACGCCGCCAAGGTCATGGCAGTCACTCCCCAACAGTTTAGATCGGAGAGGACACTGGTGAAACAGATGGCATTGGACCACAGAGGGGAACTCTTCTGACATCACCTCATTCTATTTTTAGGAGAAGCTAAAAACTGCTGATCAGGTAAGAAATAAAGGTCTTGAACAGATTCCTCATTCTTGATCTCCCTTCTCCCCTCCTTTCTTATATAATCAGAGCCAATTATAGGTGGTTAATGACTAATTTCAGTTGGATTACCTCCATGATGAGACACCTTGGCTGAAAATCAGCCGTACATTTGGATTCTGTGGACGTACAGAAGCTGAGTTGATCAGTTATGATGCTGAGCACATTTCTTGGCCACAGGGCATTTCTCTGCACACCGAGTACAAGGTTTCACAGAACTGTATCACAAAGAAAGGCAGGAAATCTCATAGTCGACATAGACGTGTACACTGATCCCAGGATGAGGAGACAAATGTAACGTTGTTGAAATAGTTGTGTTGGTTTGCACAATGGAAAATGCACTTTTTATGCCATTGTCATATCATGTAATTTTCTCAATGAAGTGATATAGCAGAAAAAGAGTGGGACTTTTAATTAAACTTTAGCTAAGGATAAATATTGGGGGTAAAAGGTGTTATTCCTCATGTTTTGCGTGTATTGTAAATATTGCGTTTTGCATTCACTGTTTTCCTATTATGCAACATATTAAGCGAGGCTCAGTTTGCGTCACTAAGAATGAAGGGCTCTACTGCCATCGGGTGCCCAACTTTTGTTACTGCAGCCAGCACAACCGTCGTTATGTAACAAAGGGTGAGTGTGGTTGGACATGGCGCCCTCCTGTCATGTGATCCAGTCCTGACGTAAAGTTGACCGTGACACAGGAGAGAAGTTTAATGAACTGAGGATCAACGTTTATTTTATAAATTATGATGCTGTTTGTGTGGCGCTTTGGCCCAGAGGCAATGTCTCTGTCTTTGGTGTGGAACCCCAGGGTTCACCTTCTGGGCAAGTTCAAATCCTGGTTAGGGAGGTTGGTACCTTCCAGTGGACTCACCACCTGCAGGAAGGTTTGGGGGGTTGGTACGGTGCAGTGTGATTTGGGTGGCGACTGCTGCCCCCGTGACCCGGTAACGGATAAGCGGATGAAAATGGATGGATGGATGGATGATGCTGTTTGTATTACACAACATGGGAATAATTTATATGCATGTAGGAAATAAACAGATATTCATTACTTACAGCACACATGTCTACATATTGAGGATTTCTTAGGCATTGCTTTAAAATAATTTTATAGTATTTATAGTAAAGTCATTTCAACTATGCATGATATATTACATAAATTCTCCACACAACCTCGTCTTGACTCTTATCACTGAAAGCTTAGCTGGTGGAAGTTTCTGGAGAAATGGCACTATTATTTATACTGTTTCAAACATCACAAAACATATTCATCTCTGAGGATATCCACGGACTTTTGGACCTTAATGACTCGCATTTTCCAAGTACTCCAAGCTTGGAGCATCCAACCTCTGTTCCTGGTTGCGGTTCTTTGTGAACTCTTTCAGCATATCCATGACTTCTCCTTGGTAAACATCAGGAGTAGGTTGAGCTTCTACAGACATATGGAGACAGGGTTTATTGCATTTTAGATTTAAAATAATTATCTTCTTTAAAAAATCAGACACTTAAAAGAAATTGACATGTTGTTCATAATTCAGTTTCTGTCGTTTCTGAGATTATGCACCAGTGTTCAGTAACTGCAGCACTGACTGGGATCTTGAAGCTAATAAAATGTTTGAGCACAAATCATCCTCTTAGTCTTACCTGTGGCCCAGTAGTAGATGTCCCAGTCATTGCTTGGTTCATTTATTATCTGGTCATACTGCTGCAGCTGGTTCTCCGTCATTGTGTTCAGGTAACGCTTTGCAAAAAGGCTAGACAGACAGGGATGACATTGTGGCCGTGAGTTTTAATGGAAAGTCATAATTATGTATATAATAACATATATAATAACATAAGGTTTTCATGCATTAGGAACAGAGGGTACAACAAAGAGCTACTTTTAACACTAAGGCTTTGGAAGCATGTTATTTATAAATTACACTAATCTGTATACAGTCAGATATGATTCTTAATCACTTTTCATGAATCCAGACAACTGTGTCCTTGTTTCTAAAATGTTATTCCTAGTCCAAAATATTACAGTCTTCATTTTTTAGTTTCTCAGTTTCAAAAACTTTAAATTCTAGTCTTAGTCTCTTATCCCAAGAGTCGACCAGAGAAAGAGGGATGTGTGGAAAAAATAAAACAGTGATAATTTAATTTCACTATATTGATCATTGACAACAACCTGAGCAATATGCAGTTCTCCAGCATGCCCCTCTTGCGACTCTCATAAAGAAGTCTACGTCTCTTAATATCAATGGGCTCGTCAGGCTTTGCCTCCCAAGGTGGTAAAGGGATCTCAATCAGGTCTCCTCTGGTGTCATCTGGTGTATCTCCTCGATAACCACGAACTGATACCAGTCCTGAGAGGGCTGGTCTCCATGCCTTGCCACACAACCCTGTCACCAACTGTGAAAAAAAAACAACATGTTGTAATAAAGACCAGGGCAAGCCATAGATATCTGTCTCAAAACGCCATTTTTTCCTTGCCTTCCCTTGAAAAATCACAACCATGTCAATGAACCTTTTCAGCTTAACTTTTGGTACAACAATGTAACACTGTATCTACTACTCTTCGGTGCTTTTTTATGTATTTATTTAATTACCTAAATATTTCTTCTAAATTCTTGGTGTATAGTTCGTCGACGCTACTTATCTTGTTATGATTACAAGGAATCGATTATTGTTATTAGAAAGCACAATTAAACGTAAATTTATAATTTTAAGTTATTGCTGTCAATTTACAGTAGCAGGCGAATTCTCGTTTAAGGGCTAAATATGAAACAGGAAACAAGGGAAGATTGTTTTGTTGTCTGTCCTGTTGTATAACTACCTTCCAGCTGTAACTACAGAATAAACAGTTAGCTGCTGAACTACTGGGAAAATTACATTACGTTAGCTTTTTTGTGAAGTCAATCTACTGTTAATTACACGGTGGGACCAATAAAACGTATCAAACATATAAACAAAATACTGTATATGTGTTTAAAACTCACTCGGTTTGCAGCGCCAGATGACAGCATGCTGTTACTCTTTTGGAGACGCACGAAAGTTAAGATAAAAATATAACTTCGTTCGTTGTGAGGCTGATTCGTTGGACCCAAAGTCAGAATTTACACAACAGCGTGGGGGGCGACTTTAAGCGGTGCACACTTTTATGTCATATTGTAAAATACGTTGTATTTTTGCTACAGTAATACATTGTTGTTAATAGGAAGGTCCAATAATTGATGTTGCCTATTTATTATCTTATTGATGTTGTTTATAAAAAAATAATTTAACGTTTTATCTCTTAAGGATTTAGGAAGAAAAGTGTAGGGGGAACTGACAAAGGGAACCAAAATATAAAATGACTTTGCTAGTCGGCCCAATTTTCTCAGCACACTGGGACATTTTTCTAAACAAATGGTAAAACTAGCGTTAGCTCACCGGAGACCAACATCTAGTTAGTACCATCCGTATATGTATTCATTTTATACTTTTGATTTCTGACCCTTTCATTAAAGCATAGATTCTTGCTGAATGTCGGCTGGTCGATTTCATGTGTGGTCATTTTTTTATTTACGCTCCAATGTTTGATTAAGTCGGAGGTAATATAAGCAACCGCAACATAAGGTGGAACGTTGGTAACATCACGTGAACATTGTGCCGTTGCTGCCATAAATCGCCCTGTATTGCACACGGAAAGTAAATTTATAGCGACAAATTAAATAACGTCTTGCCATCATTCGGATTATCAGAGGCCCGTATGGCAGCTTACGGGGCTGCACCCGGACCAAGTACCTCCAACTGGAATATGAATCAGACCCAGGAGGTGAGTTTTGTGCGCGGTTTGCAAGATTGTACGCATGTGTAACAGATAAAACGGATAAAAGTATGTCTAGTCAAATAATACTGTCAAAATGCTTTTTGTTTTTTGGCTCTATGTACTAGGCAGGGCATGAATAATACTATTTGAATTACTAATACTTTTTTAGGATTTGGACAGGATTGCTGAAGCAAATGAACTCTTTGATGCTGTTCTGACTGGATCAGTTGATCTTGACAAGAAAGTTAAAAACCAAGTGTCACCTGCAAAGAAAACGTCAAGTTCATATGAGACAAAATCAACAGACGAAAATGAAGGGAGTTCAAATAAACGTCTTGCACTTTATATAGGAAATTTCCCTTGGGTGAGTCACTTTCCCTTTATTTATTTCTTTGTTTTTCCTTGTAACCTTCTGACAGAAACCTAACTTACACAACCTTTTCTTATTACTTAGCTACAAAACCACAGCGGACTAAGTTTAATGAGAATAATAACGCATTTAAACCCATGTGAAATGCAGTGTTGTAATCGTAAATCAAACCTTTTACTTTTCCAGTGGACGTCTGATGCAGACATCACATCAATGGCAAAGACCTTGGGTGTAAAGGACATTAGGGAAATCAAATTTGCAGAGAACAAAGTAAATGGCCAGTCAAGAGGGTGAGGATTTGCAAGTAGTATAAAGTATTTAATATTCTGTAATTGCATAAGTCATGTGATTATTCATCTTTTGTTTTTTGTTTTTTTTATTCTACTTTATACTGCAGCTATGCCGAAGTGGTGGTGGCGACCACAGAATCATTTCAAACATTGTTAGAAAAAGTACCCGGGTGTAAAGTAAATGGAGAAAAAGTCGAGTGCCGTTTTGCCACTCACCAGAACCTCAAATTGTTTGAGAATGTTGCAAAGAAACGTAAGAACATCGTAATCATGTATAACATTTGTTGATGTATATCACATGTTAATGTATATAATGTTTGCTGTTTAAAAAATAATCTTCCTGACAGGTGTTCCCCCTCGTGTTTCAAAAAACTCAGATTCTTCGGGAACGGTTGCATCGTCATCACAGGAGCCCAGCACTTTGCCCAAACCTCCATTTTTTCCTATGTCCACACCCCCACCCTTACCTTTCCTGAGTCAGCAACCTCCTCCCTTCCCATTCATGCCTCCAAACATGTCAGTGCCACCCCCCTTCATTTTCCCTCCTTCACACCAGATTCCCATCCAAGCACCTCCTAGTCTTCACATAAACCCAGCATTCTTCAACCAGGATGGACAAAGCAGCATAATGCACAACCAACAAAAGTGAGAACATAATATAATGAATCCAAAATGTCCTTATTTCTTTAATAGCCTTTGCGCAGAAACAGTGCTCTCCATTCAGTAAATGTATTATTAAATTCACTGGGTCTAAACAAACATATCAGTAAACAGGCACCTAGCTTGTCACTGCTAGATAAATTCTTGTCTTTTCATTTGAGTGATTGGTTTGTCTGAAATCACTTGCTTTCTGCCGCTCTTCTTTCTTGGCAGAGGTTGGCTTTAGGCTTTTGAACTGACCAAGCAGAACTATACTTGTTTTTCCACATATTACAATTTGTTTTTGTTTTTTTTTTTTTGTTTTGTTTTTTTTTTTTTTTTTTCAGGCAAACAACTCAAGTTACAGATGACGATTTTGAAGAACTAATGAACAGAAATAGAGCTGTTGCCAGCAGTGCCATTTCCAAGGCAGTGTCTGGAGCAGCAGCTGGTAAGTCAAGCTGCCGAAACCACGAAGTAGAAATAGGAATTGTAATAAGGCCATGAGAGAAAATAAGTGGTTTTGTAAGATTTGACATGATAAAATGTATGTGATTTTAACTGAATATAGATGGTTAAAAAAAGGGATTAAAAAATTCATATCCAATGTAGCAGAAGCCTAATTGTTCAGTATATAATTCCAATACAAAAAAACGTGTGTGCTAAAGCATTCTGCTAGCCTTTAATTTGTTTGTGCTTTTCATGTGTTTAGCTACTTTTTGGGTCACGAAGTAGTTTAATGTACGTAAGTATTTGTAATAGAATCCCACTGATTGTTAATGCAGGAGACAGGGATGTGTCAATGGAGACACTATTAACTGCTATTGCCATCATTAAGCAGTCCAGAGTGTATGGAGATGAACGCTGTCAGGCCTTGGTTACTTCGCTCAAAGACTGTCTAGTGTCCATCCAAGGAAACTACAGCTACAGGTAGGTGGAATTACATCTTTGGACTTTGAATTTAGAGAAACATAAATGGATCAGTCCATTGTGGTGATGTGTCCATTAAATGCCTCACAAACACACTTACATGTACAGAAGTCGTTCTAGGGACAAAGACAGAGACCGAGATCGTGACAGGGGCCGTGACAGGGAGCGAGAAAGAACAGAAGATTCTTCTGGATGGGAAGGATCCCGAAGACGGGAGGGGCGCAGAGAACGGTCGTGGAGTAGAGAGAAGTCCAGGGAGCATTCACGCGATCGGGATAGACACAGAGATTACAGAGACCGATACCGCTGACATGGTAGGCTTTCCTCTATGCTTCTCATGGTTAACCATACTTTAATATAATTCTGGTGGTAATGTCCTCCAACCCTTATCAGACAAAATGGTAAAGGTTACAATTCTTTCAGTGTTTTACACGTATTTCTTGTTCTTAAAATGTATCCAAGTCAGGCCTAGACTCTTTAGTTCTGCCACATAATCAGTCTGCTGTCCATACTCTGCAAATAAATATCCACAAATGTCATCATATTGAAGGCATTTTAACTTGTATATGTAGTTGTTGTCTGAAAAAAGGTTTGACCATTTCAGATCTCAATCTCTCTTTGTGTTGTCACTCACTATATATCACTGCCTGTGTAAATTTGATAATTAAGCGATCTTAGATAAAGTACTTCTCCTTGTTCTCAAACTATTTAGGCAGCACGTTTGCTAATATGAGCAGTTGGTCATTTATGGAAGAAGTATTGATATGAAATCAATGCCATCAATGCCAATGCTGAGTGCAGTACCTGGGTATGGCACAATACAATGGCACTGGTTAAGCAGTGAGAGGAAAATGACTGCTGGTAAATCAGCAGCCCATGTACAATTGAGTGTCTTTCTTTCATATCCATGTGGAGTAAGGTAGCATATACCGTCCTGGAAGGTATAGTAGACTATGAGGACACCAGACAACAAACTGTTGTCCAGCTGTATATGTTTGAGACAGTGTCATACTGAGAACAAGAAGAAGGCCCAGAAGAATATCGAGGGACAAGAATGAACCTGGATGTTCAGTAGTTAGAGGTTAAGTTTGTTATTCTTACATTACTTTTATGTTTATGTTTCACATTATGTGTAGAGATTTGGTGAGATTTATAATTGCCTTAAACCCACTTTTTGACATTATAAAGCATGAAGTCAAGTTACAAATCATATACTTAATTATATGTACCAAATGTTGCTAAATATGTCCAGTTTAAGGGCGTGTTTACTGTTATACCCTTCTTCTTTTCAGACTGGTCATGTCTGTGTGTGAAGCAGAGAAAAGACAAGACTTTTTGTTTCTACTTCAAGCTGTATATAACCTGACAAATGCTGAGGTGAGACTGAAGATTTGTTCCAAAACTGTTTCTACTTTAAGTTCTACTCTTGTCTGTACATACTGGGACATTTGCTTGTTTTATGGAAAAAAAAAAAAATAGTAGTCTGTCTCATGGACATCCAGAGGTTGCATGCAAAACATTTGTGTAAAATTGTCTTCTTTTGTAATAAGTTAACAAATTAAACAATTTTCCTGATTATCTACAATGCTTTAATTTCCTGTATGTTAAATATATGCTTTTACAATATAGAATTAGGTTTCGAACCTAATTTGATAGCCTTTAACATCATCAACAATAAATGCACTCCCTTCACCTTCACAGCACAGAACGGCTTGATTTTGGGTAAAATCATGATGATAACTATTTAGGTAAAGATTAATATGATCATTATTTAAAATGGTTTCTCATTTACTCTGGCAAAACATTGCATTTATTGAACATAATCAAAAGGAAATGTAATATTTCCTGTATACTTTCCTTTTGACCTCCCCCTAAATAACTGTAATGTTCTCATAAAAGTATCTTATTCAAATCTTACAAAAAAGTTTACACAATTAAATATAGTAAGCAATGTAACATTCTTCAAAAATATTTTGAATACAAATAAATTACTAAATTAAGAATCGAATACAGTGGAATGCTAGTGAATATTGCTATGAAAAAAATAGGATGTTTGGGTCATTATAGCCAAAACCATAATTAGTTTAAACTGTAGTTGGTGAGAGATTAGTCTTCGTCGTAATTTAAATTAGTTAAATTGGAGAGCCCTAATAAATGGTAACTACATTAAGGCAGCTTTTTTAGAGACAGTAGAAATTAGATTCTGTTAATCAGATCATTTTTGCTTTATTTAGAAAAAAAAAACACATTACAAAGATGCACACATTTACATGAAAGTCCATATGTCCCTGAAGTCTTTCTGACTGCCATTAGCCATCACACAATAAACATTAAATGAATGTTTCAAAGTAGCCACTTGAAGTCCATGTAGTTGTTGGAAGCAGGCAGACAAAAGTCACTTTTCTAGGGGTGCGTAGTTAAGTAATTTTTCAATAAGATCCACGTGAGAAAGGAGCATTCTCCGACAGCAGTATCTCTTCAGGCCCAGGGCGTCTAGAGCATCACTAAGGTAAAAGAGAAGGTACAGTTAGTACTAATGCCGTATGTAAACATCACTGAATAAATAAGTAAACAGTATGAAAGCGGCTTCATATAATGACGATGTAGCAGATTCTGGTAATTGTTACCCTTTTATGATCATATTATGGACTTACAACTAAGAGGCTTTTTATGGACACAGGTAAGATGTGTTAAGGTGGTAGGAAAGATGGTTATGGCACTGGCAACGTTATGAATGCTAACTATCAAAAATGTTAAGTAGATTAATCAAATACATTTTCTATTTTAAAGTTAGTAATTTGTAAAATGAATTATATGAATAAATGGCATGAACCTACCCTTCAGTATACTCAGCTTGGAGTAGACCCAGGTATGCTTCCCACTTATTGCCCACAATCTTGCCGCATGTGAAGCACCGGACAGGGATGATCATTGTTGAACACCTGGAGACAGAGTGCGTTGGTGGTTAAGACATCTGACATCATAAAATGTACTTAAATGTACAGAGGAGCTAGATACGAGCTTCCTGAAATACAAGTATTCCATGTTACAAGTCTGCAACTATTGCCAAGATTTTGCTCAGTGCTCAAGTGGGCTCCATTCTTCCACCTGAATTGATGATGTAGGAGTGATAAGGGATGAAGATTCACTGTTTAATCACATGTATATATAAATAAAATTCTTCTCCTATGCTTAGTGGCCCCAACACTGTCGCACTGTCTTGCTCACTGTCCCTTGCTCGGTTATTTTACCCATATGATAACAATAATATAAAATGTTATTAATTAGTATTTTATATTATCTTATATATTATCATTTGTTTATACCTATGTTTTGATGTTTAGATGGGCGGGGGGTTAACAGTATAATTCTGGAGGTCTTGAATGAATAAATTGATTTTCAGTTATTTTTAATGAGGAAAATTTTCTAGATGAGTGGATCGAGACACAAATGCTGTTGTAGAACAGACACTAATACCTAGGGGGTTTCTTATTATCTTTTTTCTTTTGTTTTCATAGCCATTTGCTGCCACCTAGCAGAAGAGTATTTGAATGTTCTGCCTTTCATGCTTTGAAGAGCAAAGAAAATTTACATGCAATAAAAAAGGTTTTCAGCCCAGTTAAGTGTCCAACACAGACTGAACAAACTTGTTAAAACACCTAATGACCTCTCTCAGCACAGTGTGCCTCGGCACAGTGGTTGGGAATTACTACTCTAGACTTACATGCAATTAATGTTTTGTTATTCTGATTTAGACCTAGCCACGAGTTAAGCACAGCAGCTAACTGCTAACTAATTTCAACCGCAAGTGACGCACTGCTACGCAAAATAATTTAACGTGAGACATGAGTAGCCAAACAACGCAAAAATTGTGCACTGAAGGGACTTACCTGCACCAGTATGTCTTTTCTAGTAAATTATAACAGCGACTAACGACAGCGTGTCGTCTAGAATTCTTTTGCAACTGTCAACTTCCGTTGTCTTGCGCTAACTTCCGCCGACATGGATCCGCCTGCAGAAAATTAACGTCACATCCGTCAAGGAATGGAAATCGCGGCTCTTCAAAATCAGTACCCCTCAAACAAAAACAGAACTGTTTTCTCTTCTTCCTAATGTTATTTACATGAAACTATTTACATAATAAGTACATAATTGTAGGAAAAATTCTTTCGTCACAGTTTTTGGTTGAAATTTAGTAATGGGACAATATATTTTGACCAGAATAACATTCTTTATCTTATTTCCATCTTGGTGCCTCTCCCTTTTTTTTCTTTTAACAACTCGTTTTTTTATTTTGTATTTGTTTTAGGGTTTTATTTTTTTAGAGAATACTCAGCCACCATAGTGTAAATTAATAGAATATTAAATAAATACAATAACATAATAATGTGATATTTTAATATGCCTTTGCATATTTACAAATTCCTAACTTAAATAATTTACCATCATGTTTGGCATTATGTAGGGGTGCATTTAGAAAATAAAAGAACATTTTGACCATGTATGGGCTATGTGGATTAACATGTCAAAGACCAAACAATGGAAGCAACTGTAACAAACTAATCAAAAGCAAATGTATGTCACACATGGTAAAGTATATTCACAGTACATTCTTATCCTTGTGACCTTAATTAATTATGTTATTTGAACACGACATAACAAACATGTTTGAATCAAAGAGATACTCACTTAGTCTGCATGGTTCACTGCCTTTAATAAATATTACATTACAGCCTGTCGTTAACATTTTGAGTGTTAGGGAGTGTGCATAAGGAAAATGTTTATATATATCAAAAATATATCACAACCATCATCATCACAGCCATCATGAACAACAACATTGCTGCTGTTTTCATTATAACCAGAAACACTACGATCTTTGACATTGTAATAAATACCAACAGTATTATCATAATTTCTAAAAATTTAACTTGCTACAGCACAGGTGCTAAATGATGCTTCCTATGTGAATTATTGCATTTATACGCTGTTGAATTTATGAAAGTCGGGTTTTTTTCTTTTTTTGGTACACTGTATAGTACAATATAAGGTGAAGTTTATATAAGATTCTCTCTATAGTGACAACGTTGGGATGTATTTAGGGTGTTCACTGGTGAATGAAGAATGTTCATAAAATATGTATTTTTGTAAATAAAATCTCAACAAAAGTCCTATTGAATGGAGTGAGAGTTGTCTTTGCTATCTACTTATACAACAGGAACATCTTCATAAAATGTACCTGTTAGTGGTCAATATTATGTGTAGCTGTACAGGTGAGGCTATGCAGCCAAATAATGGAGGCTGTATGACTTTTTTTTTTTTCATTTGAGAAAACTATACATAAGTATTTCTTCTACACTTGACTGTTACTGTAGTAGAGATGGAGGAAGCTCAGTAAGCTCATTGAAAACACAAACAGCTCCAGTGTTTTGGCAGCAGGTCATAAACCTGATACAGTACATTAACACAAATGGCTGCTAGGGCCAAGGAGCAAACAGAAAAAACAGCATGACTGCTGTGTATGGTGTAAGACATGAAAGGTTATTGATTTGATTATATAGGAATGAAAAATGCTCTTATTCTACAGTAAGACAAAACCACACAGGTATTCTTAGCAGCACAATATACATGTTATCTTTCCAACAGCTCCTCACACCACTGCATGATTATCATCTCTCGAGCGTCTCTCTTATAATGTCAAATTTAAAAAATAAACTGGACCATTTTTTGTTTTGGGGATATGTAAGAGCACAACTTTTTGGTCTACTAGTAAAAACGTGATCATGATTTTCAGTTGGATAAAATAGGTGCAATTTATAAGAATCCATATTTAACTGTCAAATCTGTAATTTCTCCTCTGAAAAAGTTAAACAAACCAAGTCTGATAGTCAGGCCATGTCCAAACATTTCAACATTTTGAATACAATATCTTTTAGCAAAGTGAACCAAGCATATTTATTGTGCAGGAATGTGTCAAATATTGAAAGACTATGTCAATATTTGTACGAACAGAATTAACCAAGATAAAATTGTTGCATAAGCTATATGCATAGGCATATGAGCATATGAGAGTTTTGGTTTTTGAACTTGATATAGTACATATTTTCCAAGGAGTTGATTATAATTATGAAGCCGTTTTGCAGCAACATGCATATGCTTTGGGTAAATGTGCTCATATACAGCCTTGATCAGCAATTTAATTTGTTTAAATGGTGGAAAGCAAACCTATAAAAGCCAAATGAAACCTTATTTGCACAGTGGCTACCCTCTCCCCTTCTGCACCATGGTAGTTCTTGAACCAATCCGCAGGACCTCTAATTTCTTCTTGCCAGTAGCAATGCTCCCAGCAAGATGGCTCCTGCTGCAATAATGGCACCACCAATGAGAAAGGGTTTCAAGTGTTCCAGGGAGTCTGTGCCAGAGGCTGCAGTCCCACCACCTGCTGCTGCAGCATCAGCGTCTGCTGCTCCATCCTGAGGAGGAAGAAGCTCAGGCTCAGGTGCGGCAGATGCAGGGTCGGTCTTGCGAGGGGCTGCTGGTTCTTTCTTCTCTGGTTTGGATGCCTTGGGTGCTGGAGTCCCAGACTTAGCTTTGGCTTCCATGGACTTAGAAACTGAGGTGTGGTCTGGTCAGTAGTAGTTGGTCACCAGTCTTTCTGTAAGGTCAGCTCTGTGCTGCTTTGCTTTGATTTAAAAAAAAGAGAGAGAGAGAGAGACACCAATAGTCACAGATTATACTTCTAAATCAGACCTAATCATTTTGTGCGTTGTAGGATGCAGAGTCATATCAAGGAAAGTGCTAATATCCACTGTAGAGCAGTGAGGCAGACCTATGGCAATGGGCCTTAAGTGTGACCTTGGAAAAAGATGGCTTGATTAAAGCACTGCGAAGGACAACAAATGTTTATTTCTTTAGCAGTTACTGTGACGACATCCTTGTAATTCAAGGCTTTAAATCTATTACCCATATTCAACGACTTTTTATAGTTTGAGGATGCACAAACAGAATGTTAGAGCAGCTTCCTGTATAAGGCTTTTTGGGATAAGCTGTTTTGTGATCGACAAAAGATACTGCAACTGCAGAGCTGACTCATACACCGTCTAAATGTTTTTTGTTTGTTTTTTTTAATCTGGACAACACCTTATCCAGGAGCAATAGCAAAAATGTAACATTTTTCCTCTCTGTTCAGCCACTTTAATGTTTATAAATTATATGTCCTCTCTGTTCAGCCACTTTAATGTTTTATAAATTATATGCCTGCAAGTATGACTGCAAAACAGGATGGAGAAGAAAAATAAAGTTACACAATAACTGTGAAAACAAGGTAAAATTTATATTAAAAAATGTGGTAAGACAAGTAACTAATGATAAAAAAAAGTAAATGCATCACATGAGCATGCATGTTAAAGGATATACGATGGACACACATCTAAAACGACACCTTTTTATTTCCTGCAGTAATTAAATGAGATGATATACGAACATTACATACCTCTCCAACAGTCTGTCCAATACTGACGGCAAGGATATCACCTGGAGGGGAAATCACAATAGTCTCTGAAAGACACAGTGTCCTTAATACAGGAAAATGGGGGATAGCGGAGAGATGGAGGACACTGGAAGAAGGAGGAAGGAGAATGGGAGGGAGAGGAGAGGCTGGGATGTACCAAGTGCTAAAGATGAAGGGGGTAGTCCTTCTGAATTTATTATACTCTAGATACAGGTTTCTGAAGTAAGGATTATTATTTATTGTTAACAGTATTCCTGATAATGTTAGCCGAGTACATTAACTGCAGTCGCTTAAAATATCTATGAGTTTAACTTTTATAACTGCATTTAACTATACGGCTGTCACTCTTATTTTATCATAATACCAAATATTTACAACTGCATGTGCGACTTAATATAAACCTGCATTTACTAGAATATTTGTCAGGTGAGATGAGCTGGTATTAAATGTATTTATAAATAACTGTATTTTATTTCTTAACAATTAAAGAATTACTGGGAAGTTTAATCATGATTAATCAATATTCCAAATAATCATGATTAATCCAAATAATTCAACATTATAACACTATAAATGTTATTATAAGTATGGAAGTATATATTCTGTACAGTGCTGGAACACAAGGATAAATAACATACAACAACAACAACAACAACAACAACAAATAAGCATGTTGGTCTTATATAGGAAGAGAAATCTATCTGCTTCAAAGCATCCCATGTATATAAAAGTGCTGTAAAATGACATTATAGACATAGAAATATGCAATGTTTTTCCTTCTTCAATTTTTTTTAATGTTCGCAACCTTGACATAAACACTAACAAAAACCTGTTGCAGTTAACACATCTATTGCAGTCATCACTGCATCTATTTTCAGACTTGCGATCTATGTCATACAACCCTTGGCCCTGGGGTAAGCAGGCTTTAAAAGAGTTCTAGGTAAATGAGATCACAGTTATTAGGCGTTTTCAGCACGGTTCCTTAGCGTCTTGACTTCACTTCAGCTAGTTGCAATGCATTCTTTGTAAAATGACTGTATACATTCCCATGTGCATTTTCCCTGACGCCACACAGATTAATTTACGCCCAGTGTACGACCAACCAAAGAGGAAAGCAGCGGGTCAAGATAGTTATCGGTTAGGTGTCAGGCGATAACCACACAATTTTATACATGAAAACGAAGCATGTGGTCAGTAGTTCTTACCGCTTTGCGACATTTGTGTGGTTACCGGAAGTTACTCAGAAGTATACGTGGTGATTTGTAACACCCAATAGCCTCAGCTGTATACCCTCAACTTGTGTATATTACAAAAAGTGGGGGGCATCTTTTTTTTTACAAGACTCACTCTCTAAGTCTCCTACAAAATCCCTATCTTACATGTATTATATTCACTTGGATATATTTTCTAAAACCTCTTAGCTGCAATGTATGCAAATCTTTTTTTTTTACGCCACTCACCTGTGAAGGAAGGAAGAAAAGTGAACTACTTGTCATTGTGACACAGCACACCACTGCACACAACCATGCTCAGAGCACCTCAGTGGTAACTTGGCAGCTGGTGGACTCGAACCTGAAGCCTTCCAGACCTAAGTCCGCTTCCTTAACCACTAAGTCACCACACTGCCCACTGCCCCCTGCAATACACAATTTACATATATATCTCATTCACCACATTCCTGTGTGTTTAACAACATAAAGAAACCTGTTTTATTGTCAAAAGCAGTTTTAAAGTAGACAACTGGACTCTGGACTGACCACTTTACTTGTCATCACTTTGGGGTAGATAAATACCTGGAAACTCTCCACCAGAAAACTAGAACTGATAAAGCCTCTTGGATGAGAGGTAAAACATCTTCAACTTACTTGAGGTGACTGCTGATGCCTACTCTAAAACTGCTTTTGAGATCATTATTTAAATCATTATATTATTAAACACTTGTGAATTTTCTGAAAACAAGCCAGTTTTTTTAACAAAACAAAACTGTATTTCACATATTTTATGCAACTCGCCTCTGTTTTCACACAAATCACCTGTATTTTTTAACACTTAAACACATTTAGCACTGGTGCCTCACAGTAAGAAGGTCACATGTTCACACCCTGGTCCAGGCAGATGGCCAGTCTATGGGAAGGGTGTATGTTCTCTCCATGTGTGCGTGGGTACATTCTAGTTTCATCACACATTTTGCAGACTTGAAGTTTTGAAAAGTAAACCCTTCTGTATCATCATAAATGTATCATAATAAATATGCGTTTGAATGTCTCTTGGGTGAATTAGTGTAGGGATATTTTAGCAATACCCTTTACTAATGCACCAATGCATTTAATGTGTGGTTTTAAACAGTGGCAATACAATTTGGAAATTATTCTATTGTTGTTGTAGGTTTGTTCCCAGAGGAGTAGGAGCGAGAGAGGGAGGACAGTAAAGACAGTATAGACTGAAACCTGTAAATGCCCACATTAATGATCTGTACAATGATTTTTATTTAGCCATTTAGTATCTAGACTATATAAAATGTAGTAAAATACTAAGTACATTGTATACATACATGTATATAATTCCATATAGTATATATGGCTACATACGTTTTTTTGACATTCGAAAAACGATGTTTCTTAAAATCATCCCTTTTTTTCGGTGGGTGTGCTGCGTTCGGTAGCTCTTATACCGTATATGCCTTTGGGTATATACCAAACAGCGCATGCGCGGTGTCACAACCTCGCTCAATCAAATATCACTGATTTCTTTTGGATAAGTCAAGAGTTGCATTATACATCATTGAATAATTCCATTAAATGAACAGCTCATACAACAATCAAACACAAAACACACGTTTGGTCTCAACAACTCTCTGTTTTTTAAATGTATTATTTATATTTTCCTTGGGTGTCTCCACAAAGGGAAGCGACAGCAGCCTCTCGAAAAAACACTCCTCTCTCTGAACGTCATTCCTTGGTATTCCCAAAACACCAGTGGCGCTCTTCACAGCAGGATCCATCAAGTAAAATTGTCTTCCGTTTATAAAAAGCAGCCAGGTTACCGCTTTAAGTTGTCATACACGGGAAAATAATCAATCCATACTTATTTTATTTTCCTATGGGGAGCAATGTCCGGGGGAGGGGCAAGCGGCTACCCGTGAAATGCTTCTTTTCGTTTAGCTGCTGTTGGCGTTAGGATTCGGGAATCCTATTCGACTAGTGGCTCAGTCAAGCTACGGACCGAAAACCAACCAAAAGACTTGTCGTTTGGATAAGAAACAGCTCTGGAATTCGACAGGAAGACGTGAGAATGCGCCTCTGTCACTGACGCGGCGCCGCTGAAGACGTGTTGCAGTTAATGGGAGAACAGCCGCCAGGCATCCAGCGGTTTTAAAACCAGTGTCGTTAATTTACTACGCCGTGTGTGTCAGTGCATGGTTCTGACACTAGCGGATAACAGCGGAGCAACGTTTTCGGCTGTGACTCCATTCATCCGTCAGTTGATACAATGACGCCCGCACGTTTATCTTAAAATCATCGCTTCATGAATTCTCTCCCCACCACTGTTCGTCAGTGTCGGGGAGAGCGAGGCTGAGGCGAGTCGTGCAGTCGACGGCTATGGGAGAACGAGTGGAGCCGATGCAGTGGATCTTGGCAAGGCATCGTCAAAACACAGGTGAGCATCGGCAGCCGATGGGCTGATTAAAATCCTTCAGCACATAGGTGGGATAGGCGGTTAGATTCAGACCGCTCCAGATGTAACTGTGTTATCTGGACTTTTAAATGTTACCTCATATTTTGATTATGTCAGAGAGGCCACATCTGTATTAGCAAGGCCTGCAGGATGTCACCTTTTAGCAGCTGTGCAGAATGAACGCGATCGGTCACCGTGTGGCCCCAGTGATCGACCTGTTGGAATCACATGACCGAGGGCTGTTGCATGTATCCTTACCGGTCATTTTTAGATACACCTGTTTCATGAAAACAGCTGACTGACCAGTCGCATGGATTCAAGGCATATGGACACACTGAAGTCAAAACTAAGCAGCAGAAAGCACAAGACGGGTGATTTAGGTTCAAACAGCATGCTGGTGATGTCAGAACTGCAGGAGTGACTATATAAAGGTTCAGTGTGAAAGTGTTAGATAAAAAAAAGATGTAATTTCATATAATTGTGCAGATGTTTTTCTCTGTTTATCAGAGAAAGTGCAATGTGTTATTTGTATTTACCTTAAATTAGCCATATTTGATCGATCCCTGTGTTTTTGAAATGTTTCCCTTCATGCCTGTGTTTTACCAATTACTAAAAGCTGCTATATATTGTGCTTGTATTGTATTGTATAATGTGTGGACTGTCATACTGGGGTTGTCACACACTTGAAAAGAATGGTCCAGAAGAGAGGACATGTCCGCTGATGGGTGGTCCTCAATGGGAATCAACTTGTTGATGCCAGAGGTCAAATAACCATTTCTCATCGTCAATTCATGGAACATGGCAAGCCCGTTGGTGTATCATTTACAGCAACAATATCACAATATCTTCTCAAGGTCTAAAGAGGGACCTGCTACATTTTGCCTTGTCTATTCAAAAATGGACAAAAGGAGATGAGAGATATAAGGTCCGACTGGCTCTGTTTTGATTTCTGCTGCCACATTATGAAGGTTTGTTAAGATGAAGAATAAACCACAGGAAAGCAGCAGGCCACTTTGCCATCTAATAGTCTTTCATGCTGTTGTCTTTTCTTCCATTATTTCAGCCCTTTAGTGCCAGTTGGCAAATGCTTATATGCCACATTAGTCCTGAGTATTGTTGCTGATCATATCTGCTTTTGGAGACCGCATTGTTTGAAATCTACTTTGAGCATAATATCACACCCAAATAGAGCCGACCATCTCCGACAAACAGATGTTGGCTTGGCAGGATTGTGATATTTAACTTATTTGTTATTGTACATCTTATTTGGAAGATGGAATTCCATCATCACTAAGTGTGTCTGACTGAGTCATTATGAAGGATATATGCACATACAGTTAAATATTATCCTCAGGTGAATCGTCGGATATCCACAGATGATTCCATAATGTGAGCAGAAAAGAGTGCATGACATTTCACACAGAGAAGAAATATTAGAAGACTAACTAAACCATCATTAAAAATGTAAACAAGACAATGTTCCTGAGTGTCTTCCTGATAAACTGTATTATGCTGAAGAGTTGTTTTTTATTGTCTCATATGC